GGATAGAGAAGGTACTGGGATAGATGCCTGGAATTTGGGGACACTAGGAAGCTATGTGAGAATCTAGTGCAGTGGAAACTCCCTGGATTCTATGCTGGTGACCCTAGTGAAGATTCCAAGTAATGGAGGATATGGTCCCTGAACTGTCCATCTTCATAACCAGACAAGGCTTCCTGTAGTGAAATATAAGTAAAGTGTATATTATTTGGCTTCAAGTGAAATGTATAGTAAAGCCTGTGTGTCTGGCTTTGACAGAAAGGTTTCATCAACGCCTTTTCTCTGTTTGGGTAACCCTTAGAGGCTGCGAAACTGTTTTGAGACTGTTTAAACCTTGAAGAAATGTTGTTTCTCTGGAGTCTGCCCTTGGTGCTATGGGAGAGCTTGCAGCTGCACCGACCTGGTCCTAAGACACCCCTGGCAGACCTGGAGTTCTTCCTTTTGATTATGGGTTCCTATGCTCAAAAGATTTGTGTGAGTTGTCTGCTCTCATGCAGCAAGAGCAAGATGACTTTGATAGTTGGTACCTTTCCCAGCCCCAATAACCTTGTAATTGCTTGAATAAAGTAACTGGAGCGAGCTAGCTAGGTGTCAGTCTTTTCTGAGAAGGGTGGACCTCCAGTTTATCATCTTGGTGAGCTTCTTTCTCTACCTTGGTACCTGTGAGTCAACATCAAACAATAGCTCCAGTGGTGGGACAGGGACAGAGTTCTTTAATGAAGTAGAGAAATTCTTTAGGGGAATACAGAGACAATTGAGCTCCATTTGTCACCTTTGCATGATGGCATAAAGTTTAAGTAAAAGCTTTTAACAGTGGGTACAGAAAAATTTTAGGGACCACAGAGCATAAATTAACAATATGGAAGATTTAGGAGAGTGGTTATGTTACAAGGAACCAAAGAGCACAGAGGGGTTTATGAAAGCTAGAAATAACCTTCCTTACATGGACAGGTACTCAGGAAGACAGGAATTGGATGCTCTGCTCCTGGATATTTCTGGACCCTCTGAGGCTCCCTTCCCACCTCCAGGACACACCTCACAGTCAAACATATTCACAGATGTCCTGAGTATGTGACACGAACATCATACTATCTCCAGGTTCTGGTGGGTGGGAAGACACTTCATAAGACTCAAACACACACACACACACACACACACACACACACACACACACAGTCTCAGGCTAAATTGACTAAGGGACAGGTGCAGATCTCCTTAAAAATATGTCCCTCACCACTTGTGAAACAAATAGCTGAGTGGACAGATTGTCTTAAATATCAGTCATAGGCAACACTTAATTATGTCATACATTGAAGTTGATTCTCCAATGTAGTGATATTAAGAACTGGGACAGCTAGAAGTTTGTCAGTTCATGGGCTCCATTGTTTATACCTTCTATACTGTGAGGACATGAACTACAATCTTTGGGCTAGATTTCTAGTCCTTGACACACAGCAAATCTACCAGCATCTTGGACCTAGACTTCTATATCTCCAAACTTATGAACTAATTTTTATTGTCTATTAGCTACAAACTTCTGATGTACACATAGACATACAAATGTTTATATACATAGTTATTGCCATGTATTGCCTAATGTCCCTATATCACATGGATTATTCTTGGAATCCTGAGCTCATGCACCCTCCTGTTTCTGCTTTCCAACTAGCTGGGCCATATCCATCTGCCTCAGCACAGAGCTCACAGCATAAGTTGATTTTGCTACAGCAGCTGTATTAGACAGAGTTCCCTAAAGGAGTAGAAGAGACAGAATATGCATATGTTGTAAAGGAAGATTTATTAGAACAGCTGGTTTACATAATAAGGGCTGAGTGATCTAATAATAGCCATCTGCACTCTGGAGAGGATCAGAACTCTGGTAATTGCTTAGTCTGTGACTCTCAGTGACTCAGCAGTTCCAATCTACCATTGGAGACCTGGGAGATTCCTGGAGAGTCTCTAGTCTTCAACACATTGAAAGGCTGAAGAAATTGGAATCTGATGTCATGGAAGCATCAGCAGCAGAGCCAGGTAGATGCATTCACCAGGAAGAGGCAGAGGCAGGCCAGGAAGGCAAGGAATGCTGCTGTTTACATGGACCTCTTTATGTCTGGGACACACTGAGGAGGAGGCTCTTCTCCTCTCAGCTAATCCTTCCTAGAAATGATCTTTACGACCCATCCAAACTGTGTCTCTTAGTTGATTCCAGATGCTGTGAAGTTGGGAATCCTTTGAATGTTTCCACTGACATGGTACTACCATGGCTATGCCTGACTCCCCCAGTCAGCAAAACATGATGCCAATTCAGTGTCTCCCTTCAAATTCTCTGTGCTCCAATTCCTGGCCTAGTCAGATATTCTCTCTTCCCCCACCTTCCCCTCTGAAGGAACAGCTGGGCTTGGGGAGATGGATTGTCCCAGCTCTTGTGAGATCAAAGACATCCTCTAGATTCCTTTAAGCACTGGCAGCAGGAGCCCAATAATGAGCCCAGGGAAGTGGGAGAATCTGGCACCAGCTCTCCTGGAGTGTATCCGTCTCTAATCATGGTGTCCATGATGGACAATCAATAATCTTAACTTTGACCCCAAAGGAAATGCTGTCCTGTGGCTGGTCTTCCTTGCAATGCATTTTAAAGGGGAGAGTTTGCCAATCTGGGAAAACTTGGCTTGTAGGGAAAGCTGATCAGATGTAACCAGTTAGGACATATCAGCACCTCTAGCAAGAAGGATCTGGCCTCTTAATGACAGAGAGAAAATGTTTTGGAAGAGTTCGTGAAGCTTGAGCACAATTTGTCATCTTTGTATAATGAAATGAATTAAAAGAGAGGGCATTTATTAGAAAGGCCAAAATATCTAGTAACAGAAAAGGGTTAAGAGTGAAATTCATTTATATGGACAATCAAGGAGAAGGGGGCTATCACAGGGGCTGGGAGGGAAACTGTGGAAGGAAGGAGGAATGCCCTATCAATGGACACATGCTCAAGAAGACAGGGGACATTGATCTCTATTTTATGTATATGGACCTTCTGACACCCCCACCTTGCTACTAAGGACTCACCCCACAGTCAAACATCTTCACAGATGTGCTGTGATCATGTGAATGTGAGCATTGCCATGGCTACAGAACTGTGGAAGTAAGGACAAACCTCAAGAAATACAAAGTAACTAACCTGGTTCTTCTGGACACAAACACACAGATACAGAGACACAGACACAGACACACAGACACACAGACACACAGACACACACACACACACACACACACACACACACACACACACACACAAAAACACACACAAATAACTCACATACACACTCATACAAATGTATCCCATGCTCACACACACAAGCAAGCACAAAACCTCTCACAGACATATGGGTACACAAATGTATGTGTGCATATATGTTCACATCATTGTATACAAACACACAAAACCACATATGTACAAAAGTGGATGTTTGCAGGTATGTGTGTAACAAATGCATGTCTGGTGCCCAAAGAACCAAGAAGAGGAAGCTAGATCCTTGGAACTGGATTTATTGGTAATTAGAAGCCACCATGTGGGTGCTGGGAATCAACCCTGTGCTCTCTGGAAGCGTAGCTGGTGCTCTTAACCTTCCAGCCATATCTCTAGCCCTGGAATGGTACTTTTTTGCACCATTAAACATGTTCCACAGCATAAACAAATGTAATATATCTTAAAATAATATTCTACAACATGAAGGAGCTTGATGAGGAAGTTGGGCTTGGGGGTCCCTTAAAGTTCAATGCTAGCCTTATGATAACTTTTGTCAAATGGCTGAAGGGCATGGAGCATGGCCTACAGTACAGAAATCTTGAAATCACTGCTATGGAATGGTACTTTTAAATAAAAAATTGCAAATATCTAAATTAGCTTATCAATCAATAGCCACACATTCCAAAAGCAAAAATAAATAGGCATGGGGGAGCTGGAGAAATGGTTTACAGTTTGAAGTACACACTGCTTATAGAGGACTTGAGTTCTGTTCCCAGAACCTGTATCAGCATAACCACTTGGAATTCTAGTTCCAGGGGATCTAATGATGTCTTCTGGACTCCAAGGACCCCAGTATACATGTGGTATATACTCTCACAGACAACACACATATGCATAAATAAAAGATAAAAATAAATGCTTAAGAAAGTAAGATGGACATAGTGAATGTCTGTAATCCAATCGCTGGGGAAGCCTCGGCTGGATGATGGTAAGTACACACACACACACACACACACACACACACACACACACACTGTCCCAGACTGGAGGAGATCATAGTCACTTAAACCTACTTCTCATACAAAATCATGCCAATAGCCACTTTGGGACAGAATAGATGAATGGGCTTGGATGGTGCAAAGGGTAGAAAAAAAGAAATCAGTATTGACAGATGGACAGATCTTAAATGAAATTGTAGTTGACATTTAATCTACAAACACAACAGGTAGAGATACTTTAGGATTTTTTCAAATCTAGGGATTGACATGGGAGCCTCTGGAAAGTACCTATGAATCATACTTCTATATTGAAACTTAGACTCCAATATGATGTTACTAAGAGTGAGATCTGTTGGAGACCTGGGTCATGAGAACTACTAATTATTCCATCTGTCAGTGAAAACACAAGGTGCCTATCATCTTTGGGTCAGAAAGATACTCATCACAATACAGAAATTCTGTTGGTGTCTTAACCTTGGACTTCATGGTCTCCAAAAGTATGAACTTGATGACAGAGGGCATGTGATTTTGACACAACCTTCCCAAATGATATGGGTTCGCCTAAGAATCTATATCAACATTTTCCAAAGCTTCTGCTTTGCTAAACAAGAGTTTTGATCTTAGGCATGTAGACACCGAGGATGAGAAATTAAGGCAGGGCAGGCAGAAGGGTCTGCCCTGTGGCAGTGGAGTGTGTAAGGAGATGGGTACTTTGGGGCTCACAAATGCACACTGTTATTTGAGCATTTATTGAGTGGGTCCTACTAAAGATGACCCAGCAGGATGAAGAGTCACATGCAGAGGATTTGTGATAAATGTGAAAGAACAGACAAGTGCAGAGATTATGTGAACGCTAGAATCAACCCAGGCTCCTCAATATTGTTGAGAAACTCAAGCTGACCCCACCAGCAGGCAACCCTACACAGCATTCTAAACACAGGGCACTACAGTTCTTGGTGCATGTTCTGTGACCTCTTTAGCTCCTGGATCTTCTGGGGCAGAGTCTTTGTCCAGAACTGCAGCTTTCTGGCCTTCAAGTCTTGTCCCACAGTAGGCTGGATGTCCAACTGCAGGTACTGTTCATCATGGTCCAACATGGGCCAGTAGGGTAGACCTTCACTGTTTGGGTTCCTGTGGATAGGCCACCCAAAAGGGAAGGGTGAGGTCACTATGATCCAAATCCTGATCCCCTGATTGGGTCAGAGCAGTAGAATTAAGCCAACATTTAAGGAGTCTGATGTGGCATGTTCCCTGTTAAAGTGATAGAAGTGTCACCCACGATGGGCTTGGATGGTGCAAAGTGTAGAAAAAAGAAGTCAATATTGATGGATGGACAGCTTATCTTAAAAGAAATTGTAGTTGACATTTAATCTACAAACACAACAGGTACAGATACTTTAAGGAGGCTCCATATGAGGGAAGAGAACCTGAACTATTTTATGTTACTCTCTAAAAGACAAGATCTAATGAATAGTACCATATCACTATGGCCCACCAGTCAGGTCACTGTGAGATGAACAGTATCTGATAGCTACAAAGAATCTGTATAAATATTCTATTGGGTAGAGAAAATGCTATCATGTGACGGAAGATCCAGGAATGCTAAAGAGATGACGACATAAATGGGAGCCCTAGAGAGGGACCCACACTTGGAAAGTTGAGAGAGAGGTGTGTTCTCACCCATGTCTTGCGAAGTTGGCCCAGTACTTCATCATCCTCCTGTTCAGTAGCTCCTCCTCCTCCGGGAGGTCAACTGGAGTCATGAGGAAGACAAATGTTGAAGTCCATGTCACCTCACACAACTGCCAACTCATGCTTCACACTCACAACGCCAGCTGTTGTGCATCCCTAAGCTATTCACTTTGTCACCTCCACCTCACTATACAGTATCCATGATCCATGCGTGCCTCTAATTGAATTCCTGCCGCAATGTGGGGTCATCTCCATCACAGGCTAGACTGAAATGGGTCCAGATTCTATTCTTAGTATAATTTTTAGGCTATGATACCGTACACATTTGATTTTATTTCCTCCCAGAGCGTAGGTTTCCTAACATGGGCTGAGACCTTGGGAGAGCTCAGGGAGTCATCTGTGTCCTCATTCACTTCAAGGAAAATAAAGAACACTCACATTTCATGCCAGAGGAGAAGGGCCCAAAGACAAAAAGAACCTCATCACCATGGTCAGCCTTCACGTGGGGTGGCCTGACACCCTTTACAAAGGAGGGCTGATGTTGGAACTCATAGAAGTAGACAGGGGCATGGGAACCTAGAAGTGAGAACAAATGGTGACTTAGTAACTTGTTACCTGGATTTCTTCTGATACATATTTGGTGAAAAGGTTCCTTGATATGAAACTACCTGAAATCATAAAAGTTAAATCGGAGGAGGTCCAGGCTGGAGCACTAGTTGTGGAAAAGCCCTTGGCTATAGGGTGCTCATGGCCTTCCCAGCTTAATTGTTTTGAGAGTCAATAGGGTATCAGTGACCATTTCCTTCTCTGTACCTAGATGTCACTCTCTATAACTAGACATGAGACCTGGATACCACACAGCTCCACAGTGCTCACCCATCACCTACATCTGCTCCCCTAAGCCTTGTTACAGATATACTCACGCTGAAAATGTGATACTTGGAGTGCAGGAATCACAAACATGAAGTCTGCCATCATCTCTGTGAACTGTATTTGGAGGGTTTGGGGATCCTCAGTGTCCCCCATGTACTCTTCCATTAGCAGGTTACTACACTCAGGAGGCAGCATCTGCATCAAGGAGAGCAGGAAGAATGAGGCTCGACATGTTCTCAGTTAGGTGGGCATCAGCATTTGGTATGGGGAGAATGGACCCTGGGATGAGGTAGGGTATAAATAGTAAGGTTCATGCGCTGAGGTCAATACAGAATCACACATGTACTGTGGTGGTTTGAAAGTAATTAGTCCCCAAAGGGAATGGCACTATTAGGAGGTATGGCTTTGTTGGTGCTAGGTATGGCCTTGTTCGAGGAAGTGTGTTATTGTGCAGTTGGGCTTTGAGGTCTCATATATGCTCCCGCCACAGCCAGTGGATCAGACCACTTCCTGTTGCATGGAAAACAAGATGTAGGTTTATCAGCTCCTTCTATAGCACCATGTATGCCTGCATACTCCATGTCACACTGTGAAGATATTGGACTAAACTGCAGAAATTGTAAACTCCTAATAAAGTATTTTCCTTTATAAGAGTTTGTGTGGTCATGGTGTCTATTTACAGCAATAGATACCCTAAAACAACTTTTTCCGGCTTGCCTTCCTCTGTCCTACTTGGAGACACCTGAGGCCTGGGGACTGCTCACAGAGGATCCCATACCAGCAGGAGCCAGCCCATGCAGAGACTGCCAAAGCCTTGGTACCAGTCCTGCCTCCATCCACTGGAAGAGGAGAGACATCAGAGTATTGGACTTTGCACCCACCGGAAGGAAACCTTGGTCTTGTATGCACCAGGAGAGGAAGAGACTCCTTCTACACCCACAGGAGGAAGGGTTGGGAAGAAGACAATATAAGAACACATTCAACAACAGGAAAACCAATATGACACCACTAGAGTCTAGGGACCATACACCAACAAGAACTGATCATCATAATGCAGATGAAGCAGAAGACAATGACCTTAAAAACACCTTCATGAAAATGATAGAGGGCCTCAAAGAGGATATGAGAAAATCCCTTAAAGAACTGGAAGAAAAAACAATCCAAATATGAGAGAAATCAACAAATCTCTTAAAGAAAGCAAGGAAATCCAAGAAAAAAACATTCAAACAGATGAAGGAAACAATTCAAGACCTGAAAACTGAAATACAGACAATAAAGAAAACACAAACTGAGGGAATGCTAGAGAGAGAAAAGTTGAGTAAATGAACAGGAAATACAGATGCAAGCATAACCAACAGAACACAAGAGATGGAAGAGAGAATCTCAGGAGTTGAAGATACACTAGAAGAAATATACTCATACACCAAAGAAAATTTTAAGTCAAACAAATCCCTAACACAAAATATACAGGAAATATGGGATACCGTGAAAAGGCCAAACCTAAGAATAATGGGTGTAGAAGAAGGTGAAGAAACCCAACTAAAAGGTGCAGAAACATATTAAAAAATCATAGAATAAAACTTTCCCAACCTAAAGAAAGACATCCCAATGAAAGTACAAGAAGCCTCCAGAACATCAGATAGAGTGGACCACAAAAAAAGGTCTACTCTCCACATAATAATAAAAACCCAAAACATACAGAATAAAAAAAGAATATTAAGAGAACTAAAGGAAAAAATGTCAAGTAAAATATAAAGGCAAACCTATCAGAATTACACCTGACTTTTCCATGGAAACTCTGAAAGCCAGAAGGTCCTGGATAGATATTCTACCTACATTAAGAGACCACAGATGCCAGCCTAGACTACTATACTCAGAAAGCTTTCAATCAATATAGATGGAGAAAACAAGATATTCCATGACAAAACCAGATTCAAAGAATACATATCCACCAATGCAGCCATACAGAAAGTTCTGGAAGGAAAACTGCAACCCAAGGAAGTAAACTACAGCCAGAAAAATATAGGCAATAGATAATCCCACTTGACCAACAGCCAAAAGAAAAAAGGGATGAAAACCCACACATAATTTCACCACCACCACCAAATCCAAAACAAACAAGAATGATCAATCAATGGTCATTAATATCCCTCAACATTAATGGTCTTAACTTGACCATAAAAAAACACAGGTTAGCATGATGGATAAGAAGACAGAATCCTTCCTTCTGCTGCATACAAGAAATACACCTCAACTTCGAAGACAGACGTACTTAAAAATTAAAGGTTGGGAAAAGATTTTTCCAATCAAATGGACCCAAGAAACAAGCAGGGGTAGCAATCCTAATATCTAACAAATTAGACTTTAAAGTAAAATCAATCAAAAAAGATGAAGGATGTCACTTCCTACTCACACAGGAGAAATCCATCAAGATGAAGTCTCAATTCAGAATGTCTATGCCCCATATACAAAGGGATCCATGTTTGTAAAAGAAATATTACTAAAACTCAAATAACACATAAAACCTCACACACTTATAGTGAGAGACTTCAACACCCCAGTCTCATCACTAGACAGGAATACCAGACAGAAACTTAACAAAGCAACAAAGGAATTTATAGAAGTTATGACCCAATTGGACTTAACAGACATCTATAGAACATTCCATCCAAACACAAAAGAATACACCTTCTTCTCAGAGCCACATGGAACCTTCTCTAAAATTCATCACATACTTGGCAACATAACAAACCTCAACAGGCACAAAAATGAAATAACTCCCAGTATCTTATCAGACCACCATGCTTTAAAATTAGAATTCAACAACAACACAAGTGCAGAAAACCTGCGAACTCATGGAAATTGAATAATGCCCAATTTCACCATTCCTGGGTCAAGGAAGAAATAAAAAAGAAATGAAAGATTTCTTAGAATTCAATGAGAATAAGGACACAACATACCCAAACTTATGAGACACGTTGAAAGCAGTGCTAAGGGGAAAGTTCATAGCACTAAGTGCCCACATGAAGAAACTGGAGAATAGTCACACTAGAGAATTAACAGCACAACTGAAAGCTCTAGAACACAAAGAAGCCAATGCACCAGGTAGGAGTAAATGCCAGGAAATAGTCAAATTGAGGGCTGAAATCAATAAAGTAGAAACTAAAAAAAAAAAATACAAAGAATCAACATAACGAAGAGTTGGTTCTTGGAGAAAATCAACAAGATAGACAAGCCTTTATCCAAACTTACCAAACATCAGAGAGTAAACATGCAAATTAATAAAATCAGAAATGAAAAGGGGGATATAACAACAGACACTGAGGAAATCCAGAGAATCATCAGATCATACTTTGAAAACCTATATTCCTCAAAATTCAAAAATCTAAAGGAAATGGACAATTTTCTGGATAGATTTTACTTACCAAAATTAAGATAAGCAATTTAAATAGACCTATAATCCCTAATGAAATAGAAGCAGTCATCAAAATTCTCCCAACTAAAAAAAGCCCAGGACGAGATGGCTTCAGTGCAGAATTCTACCAGAAATTCAAGGAACAGCTAATACCAATTCTCCTCAAAGTATTCCACACAATAGAAGCAGAAGGGTCATTGCCAAACTCTTCAATAACCTTGATACCCAAGCCACACAAAGACACAACTGAGAAAGAGAAGTACAAACCAATGTCCCTCATGAACATTGATGCAAAAATACTCAATAAAATACTGGCAAACAGAATCCAAGCACGTATCAGAGAAATCATCTACCATGATCAAGTAGACTTCATCTCAGAGATGCAAGGATGGTTTAACATATGAAAATCCATCAATGTATTCCACCATATAAACAGACTGAGAAAGAAAAACCACATGATCATCTCACTAGATGCTTACAAAGTCTTTTGCAAAATGCAGCACCCCTTCATGATAAAGGTCTTGGAGACATCTGGGATAAGAGGAACATACCAAACATAATAAAAAGCAATATACAGTAAGCCAACAGCCAACATCAAACTAAATGGAAAGAAACTCAATGCAATTCCTCTAAAATCAGGAACAAGAGAAGGCTGTGTACTCTCTCCATACCTCTTCAATATTGTCCTTGAAGTTCTAGCTAGAGCAATAAGACAACAAAAGGAGATCAAGTGGATACAAATTGGAAAGGAAGAAGTCAAACATTCACTATTTGCCGATAATATGGTAGTCTACATAAGTGACCCGAAAAACTCTACCAGGGAACTCCTACAGCTGATAAACACGTTCAGCAAATTGGCAGGATGTAAGATTAACTCAAAAAATCAGTTACCCTTGTATATACAAATGATAAACTTGCTGAGAAAGAAATCAGAGAAACACCACCCTTTACAATTGCCACAAACAACATAAAATACCTTGGGGTAATGCTAACCAAGTAAGTGAAAGATCTGTATTGTAGGAGTTTTATGACTTTAAAGAAAGAAATTAAAGAAGATACCAGAAAATGGAAGTATCTCCCATGTTCTTGGGTAGGGAGGATCAACATAGTAAAAATGGCAATCTTGCCAAAAGCAATCTACAGATTCAGTGCAATCCCCATCAAAATCCCAACACAATTCTTCACAGACCTTGTAAGAACAATTCTTAACTTTATATGGAGAAACAAAAGACCCAGGATATCCAAAACAACCCTGTAAAATACAGGAACTTCCAGAGACATCGACATCCCTGACTTCAAGCTCTATTATAGAGCCATAGTCCTGAAAATAGCTTGGTATTGGCAGAAAAATAGACAGGCAGACCAATGGAATCAAGTTGAAAACCCTGATATTAACCCAAACACCTATGAACACCTGATTTTTGAGAAAGAAGCTAAAATTATACAGTGGAAAAAAGAAAGCATCTTCAACAAATGGTGCAGGAATAACTGGATGCTGGCATGTAGAAGAATGCAGATCCATATTTGTCTCCATGCACAAAACTTAAATTCAAATGGATCAAAGACCTCAACAGAAACCCAGCCGCACTGAACTTATTAGAAAAGAAAGTGGGAAATACCCTTGAACAAATTGGTACAGGAGACCGCTTCCTGGACATAATACCAGTAGCACAGACACTGATATTGACAATTAATAAATGGGACCTCCTGAACTGCGAAGAGGCAGAGGACACAGTCAACAACACAAAACAGCAGCCCACAGAATGGGAAATGATATTCACAAAACCCACATCTGACAGAGGGCTGATTTCCAAAATATACAAAGAACTCAAGAAGCTAGTCCCCAAAACACCAACTAATCCAATTAAAAAGTGGGGTACAGAACTAAATAGACAATTCTCAATAGAGGAATCTAAAATGGCTGAAAGACATATAAAAAAGTGCTCAACATCCTTAGCCATCAGGGAAATGCAAATCAAAAGAACTCTGAGATACTATATTATGCCTGTCAGACTAAAATCAAAAACTCCAACAACAGTTTATGCTGGAGAGGATGTGGAGAAAGGGGATCATTCCTCCATTGCTGGTGTGAGTGCCAACTTGTCCAGCCACTTTGGAAATCAGTATGGCGACTCCTCAAGAAAATGGGCATTAGTCTACCACAAGATCCAGCAATTCCACTCTTAGGCATATACCCAAAAGAAGCACATTCATACAACAAGGACATATGTTCAACGATGTTCATAGCAGCACTATTTGTAATAGCCCAGAAACTGGAATCAACCTAGATGTCCCTCAACTGAAGAATGGATGGAGAAAATGTGGTACGTTTACACAATGGAGTACTACTCAGAGGAAAAAAAAAAACCAATGGAATCTTGAAATTCGAAGGCAAATGGATATAACTAGAAGAAACCATTCAGAGTGAGTCAAGTTAATCGCAAAAAGACAAAAATAGTATGTACTCACTCATATATGGATTTTAGATCTAGAGCAAGGAAGTAGCTTCCTACAATCCATACTGCCAGAGAAGCTAGGAGGAGGACCCTAAGAGAGACATACATGGTCCCCTGGGGAAAGGTAAGGTACAAGATCTCCTAAGCTAATGGGGAGCATGGGGGAGGGGAGAGGGAGTTAGAAGAAAGAGAAGGGGAGAAGAGGTGGGGAGAGGAGGACATGAAGGAACAGGAAGATAGATCTTCAGGGGAAGAATAGAGGAGAGCAAGATAAGAGGGAGCCATTATACGTTTAATGAGAATTCTGACACTAAGGAAATGTCCAGAGATCTAGAAGGCTGACCCCAACTAACAATCTAAGCAATAGTTGAGAGCTACTTTAAATGCCCTTCTGTGATAATGAGATTGATGACTACCTTATATGCCATCCTAGTGCCTTCATCCAGTAGCTGATGGAAGCATATACAGACACCCACAGCTAAACACTGAGCTGAATTCTGGAATCTAGTTGCAGAGAGGAAGGAGTGATGAGCAAAGGGGTCAAGACCAGGCTGGAGAAAGCCACAGAAACAGCTGACCTGAACAAGGGGTTGCTCCTGGACCCCAGACTGATACCTGGGAAAGCAGCATGGGACTGTTCCAGACCCCTTGAAGGAAGAGGTCAGTTTGGAGGTCTGGACAATCTATGGGGCCACTCTAGTGGATCAGTATCTACCCCTAGTACATAAATGGACTTTGGGAGCCCTGTTCACATAGAGGGATACTCTCTCAGCCTAGACACACTGGGGAGGGTCTAAGTCCTGCTTGAAATGATGTGACAGACTTTGAAGATCCCATGTATGGCCTCACCCTCCCTTGGGAGCAGAAAGCGGTTGGGATAGGGGCAGGGGAGGAGGGGAGGGAGAGGGAACTGAGATTGACATGTAAAAGAAGCTTGTTTCTAATATAAATAAACAAAAGTTAAAAAAAGAAATTAAGGAAAAGCTTAGAGCCAGGTGTGTGGTGGTTCATGCCTTTAATCTTAGAACTGCTGAGGCAGAGGCTGGTGGATCTATCAGTTTAAGGCCATCCTCGTCTACAGATTCAGTTTCAGAACAGTCAAACTTATGTAGTGAAGGAAACCATGGAAAACAGAAAGTTGGTAAATATGTAATTGAACATAGGGCCCATGTAAGTTAACAAAGGCCAGATAAGCAGGAGAACTTAGCAGCTTTGGACATGTGATTCTGGCCTTAAGGATAAAGGAAAGGGGCTATGGAATTTGCTTCTGCAACTAAGGAAAGCATCTGAGGCCAGGCATGTGTCAGGGTTGTCCCCAAATGGGAGCCTAGAGAGACCATGTGTAAAGCTTCAAAACTGAAGCCTGGATTTCCTTGGAGACCCTGAGATGTTGGAGATGCCTGAGTTGTGGAACACTTGCCAAGGAAAGTGGCAAACATGGAGTAGAGCCAGCCTAAGAAGTGTGTTGCAGTCAACAAAGCTGAAAATGGTTGGAGATCTGAAGAGTGTTTTGATATCGTACATGGAGATGCAGAGTTTGGAATCTGCCCAGCTGTTTTTTGGTCTTTTGTCCAGTATATCCAAACTATCCTCATTTTCTTACACTTTGGAATGACAACGGATAACCAACCTGTGCCATTATATGTTGGAAATATCTGCTCTTCTTTTTTATTTCAACTTTACGTTTGATTACTGTTAAGATTGCATTAATCTCAGAAGAGTTTGAACTTAGACATTTAAATAAGTTTGAAATTGTTATAGACTCTGGGGACTTTTGAAGTTGGACTCAATGCCTTTTTGCATTATGTTATGACTATAAGTCTCTGGGAACCAGAGAATGGAATGTGGTGGTTTGAAACAAAATGGTCCCCAAAAGGAGTGTCACTATTAGGAATTGTGGCTTTGTTGGAGTAGGAATGGCCTTATTGGAGGAAATGTGTCACTATGGCGATAGGCTTTGAGGTTTCATATGTGCTCCAGTCAAACCCAGTGGTTCAGACCACTTTCTGTTGCCTGGCAGTCAACATGTAGGAATCTTAGCTCCTTTTCTAGTACCGTGTCTGCCTGCACACTGCATGTCATACTATGAAGTTAATTAACTAAGCTTCAGAAATTGTAAGGCTCTCAATAAATAAAATATTTTCCTTATAAGAGTTTGTGTGGCCATGGTATCTCTTCCAAGCAGTAGATCCTAACTAAGATATATACTGACCTTTGTTAATAAGACTCTTTCTGAGAAGGAGATATTAGGGAACTCTCTATTTGGACAGGACCAGAGGTATCTCACCATTTGTGCTGTTGCATTCTTCAGAACAGCTTGCAGGTTCTCTCTGTTTATTTCCTTTATTGTACGGGCAGAGCCCCTGACCTGGGAGAGAGAAGACACTGATAAGTGTGGGATCTGATGGACTTGGATTAAAGATGCATTGAGTTCCCACTGCTTAGCATATGAGTCTCCAGGCTCCAAGAGGATTGAAAGTGAGTCTCACCATGGGGATGATCCAACCATACTCATCATTGGTGACACCTATGATGCTGGGGACAGGGTGAAAATCTGCAGAAGCCAACAGCTCTTGGGGATGTCTGGGTAGAAACACTCCATCCACCACAGCAGGGATGATTTTGAAAACCTGAGGGGCATTAAAAGTCAAAGCTGAAGGTCAATGGAATACTTATGGTGATGTCCACTGAGTTACCTCCACCATTTTCTCATTTCTCACTAGTTTCAGAGAGCTCTGCTCACTCTGGAAGAGAATCTAAACTTAGAGCAGTCTATCTTGTTGTTCATATTGTACACAGAACTTAAAGAACAAAAACAGTCCTTCCAGAACATGAACCTTATTTAAGGCCAGAATCTCTGCTTCACTCTTGCCTTTCAGACAGTGCACCAGGGCCTCTGATTCCATGGTCTCACATCCAGACATGTTGGCCACCATCTGTAAAAGGAACAAACAGGGAAAGAGTTTTCTCAATTCCAGCCAGATGTTATTGCACCTAATTCTCACACTGTTGTGTTGTATGTCCATTGGAATAAGTATGAAATCGTTCTCTTTGTCCTATTGCTCAAAGGTGACAGCTATTAAGCAGTACCCTTTCTGCCTGCATACTTGACTTTTTGTTTAGGATGGCTTTATTTTCTCCATCCCTCTTTCTCTGTGTTTTCTGTATGAGAGAAGAATAAGTGTACCAGCATTTGTATGTGAATGTTAGAGGACAAAGTTTCATTTCTTCAAGGACCCCACACTCCCTATTTGAGACAGGATACATTGTTCTGTTGCTTCTCCTACACTAGCTGAACTGTTCTGGGAACATCCAGGGATTCTCTTGTCTCTACCTCACATCTGACCACAGGAACATTGGAATTACAGATACATGTTACTATCTACAGCCTTTTGTGGGATCTGGGGATTTGAACTTAGGTCCTCAGGCTTACACTCCAGGCACTTTTAAAACCCCACTGAACTGTCTCTCAAGTGCATGCATATTTATTTATGCCAATGGTGGAAGTGCTAGGAGCAGTTTGCTGGTCTGATAACATACTCACCCAGTATGAAGTAGAGGTGAGTAGAGGCTAACCTCTGAGTGTCTTAAAAATACTGGAAAGAAACGATTTCCCATGGTTCTTATTTTCCCCACTGAGAAGAGGACCAGACCATGAAGACTGAGGGGGCAGATTAGGACTATGATGGTAGAGGGCACTTACAGTATAGACCATCTCATGGGTTTCACTGATAAGGCCTGGCAGCAGGGCTACTCCACTTTCCATGATGGCACCATGGAAGAGTCCTTTAGACATGGGGGACACAACATGTGTAGACACACTTGTGCCACCTGCTGATTCGCCAAAAATCGTGACCCGGTCAGGGTTGCCTCCAAAGTGGGCGATGTTCTGCTGGACCCAGCGTAGGGCAGCCACTTGGTCCAGGTAGCCCCAGTTGCCTCTGGCATGCTGGTCTCCAGTGCTGAGAAGTGGAAGGGACATGGATCAAAGGGCTGTTTAGGGTCTTCTCAGCTGCCATTGCTCAGCTCAGCCCTAGTCTCACCTGAAGAAGCCCAGGACACCCAGACGGTACTGGATAGTGACTACCACCACATCCTCAATGGCTGCCAGCATGGATCCGTCATACATAGAAGCCATTCCTACAACCAGTCCACCACCATGGATCCACACCATCACCTGGAGAAGACAAGAGAGATGCCAGAAAGCTCCTAGCCAAACGCAAGCTCTGAAGGACTGTTTACTAGAGTATCAACTGCTGTACCTCTAAGCAGCTGCACAACTATATACAAACCCTCAGCACTTCAGGGCCTTGGTCATGGCTAGAGACTCTGGTAGCCCCATCAGGATATTTCTAGTTCCCATACCCAACATGTATTTCAGTTTAAATTGACAGCTCTATGGATAGAGTAATCATTATTCAGACTTCATAGTGGGAAAAGAGGTGTGTCTTCATATATATCTCTGCAGATTAAAAATGGAAGGGACCATCAACTCTCATTGGCACAACAGATAACTCAGAAGTAGAAATGGGGACCTCAGTGTTGGCCTTGAGCACCTAAGTGGTTCTGCAGGGCTCAGGCTGTAGAATGAGTCCTGGTTTTATCAAAGTGCTAAAGCCTTTGATCACTCAGTGCTATGTGTCTCATGCCCAGGTTTCAGCTGCATAGTGAGGCTGAGAAGGCCTTCTTTGACATGAACAGGGCATCAGAGTCCACACTGCAATGGAGCTCAGGTTGATTTTGTCCTTTCTAATCATTTTGAAAAACATGTCCTGTCCCCAGACTGACCATGTCCTGACACTCACAGGCAGGTTAGAGCCTTCATGGGCATGAGCTGGTGCATAGATGTTGAGATGCAGGCAATCCTCAGACATAGGGAGGGGAGGCACTGTCAGTTTCATATCCTTCACGCCTTCTACATTCATCATTTCAAGGTTTTGCAGACACCTGATGGAAATAGCAGACAGATATTCCAAGAGATGTGTGGTAGTCAAAACCAGTTGTGAGTCTGGGTTTTTTCCTCAGACACCTTCAGCTGCTGCTCCTAATGATGCCCCATTAACAGATATTCCCTTTCTGAAGTCCTTCCCACAAGGTAAAGACCACAGGCTCCATGAAAGTCAGATTTCTAGGCACTCCTCCATTTGGGTAGGGCCTGAATGTTAGTCTTTCTGAGTTCAGGATATGGAGACTTCTAGGTTTCTCTATGGAAATGACTGGCTGTATGTGGTAACTAACTGAATTGCATAAGAATAGAAAAGTGATCTTAGTATTGCAGACACACAAGCTTTTTTGTACTCGCTGTTCATAGTTGATGTTTCCAGCTCTTGTAATTTTCTTGCACTGTAAATTCCCACACATGATGGATTGTAATCTGGAGCCTTTAATAATAGCTTTCCCCCATAAATTGATTTTGTTGGTATTTTACTACAGCCACAGAAAACAAACAAGATTGCAATATTGGAGTGTTGTATACTCCACAGGTACTAGAGGAATCAGTGGACAATATTGCCCTAAAAGGAAGTGAGAAATCCTTCATCCATGCACAGGTTCTCAGGGAACTTCTTTTTCCTACAGTGCTCTAGGTGGAATTAATTGCATTTCCTTCTTCCTTGGTCAATGGCACTTGGCTTCTAGGTTGTCACAGTGACTGTGAGGACATGGTTGCCAAGTATCAATTAGTGCTGCACAACTCAGGACCTGAAGTCTATACTACTGGACTCAGGGGCACTCTTTGCTTATTAGGTCACATCTAACTCTCTATGGGTGCCAGGCTCTGATTACTACAGTTGTTCTACTCAACTTTAGCACATGCATCATAAAAACGAATGGCAGACCATCCCACTATGAGAGAAACCTGTTATGGAGCTGAGATGAGGAAGCACTTCACCATGGCTCAGAGCTCAGAGCAACTGTTCACCCCAGGACCTGACATACTCTGGGTCTGGAACTTACATGGCTGGATATGAGGTCCCATCTCTCACACCACTCCATGGTTCAGGGGCTTCAGGAGGTGCAAAGCGCAGTGGTCCGACAGGTGGCTTGGCAAAGGGAATTCCCAGGAAGCTGTGGACACCAACATTGGTGTCACTCATTTGGATGAGGCTGCCTCGGACCTGGCCTGTGTGTGTGTTCCTGATGGGGTTGGCCTCTGATGAGTCTTGACCTGTGTGGAGAGATGCCATCAGGGTTAATTTTGTGCAGTCAGCTGCCAGCAGATTGTGGGAATTCTCATACCACTGTTACCAGGACACATAGGAAAGGAACCCAGAACCTCCTAGTTCAGCTGTGGGTGTGAGTATGGGAACTCCCCATCCTCAGGGCCAGGAAACTTTCCTTTTGCTCTTTGAAGGGTGTCAGAGTATTTCTCTGGCCAAAGATGTCACACACTCTGAGCCATTTGTCCCCATGAATTTATGATTATTGTCATTCTTATTCAAAGGTCAGTAGTAGCTGCTGTCATAGCCATACACTGTGGTCTGGGAAAATGCCTTCAGCTCATTTTTCCTTGAATTGTCTGGCACTCTCCAGAGCTCCTTGTGCTGAGCTGTCTCCTCAGTCTGGAGTGGTCTTAGATATATCTCCTACCCTCTGTGTGCTAGTGGGCCACAAAATCTGTGAGCTTTGGGAGGCTCACATTTCCCACACTTTTATCTATCTGCTAGATTCTATCATTTCCACCAGCCCCCACCCCTATGCCTTCCCTCCCACAAGCTCAGCCTCTGACTTTGCAGAATTTGGCAGCTCTGACTCTAATTATTCCCCGTTGTCAGCTTAGTGAGTCTCACCCTGCACATGGAGGAGGAGAAGCAGGAGCCCAAAGGCCACAGCTTTCAGCCAGCTATGAGGTTGGTTCAGTGGCATGATCAGCTCTCAGGCCCGAGTCTGTGCTGCTATATAGGATGACCACGTTCCACAGACAGGAAGCAGAATCAGTGTGGCTTGCTCAGGCAGGAATTTAAATCAAAAGGATGTAGGCGGGAACTTGCTGTGGAGGGGCAGAGTCCTCATTGTTGGAGAACTGATTAGTTAGAAGTGACAGGTCCAATGTCCAGGAGGCAGGGCAAAGCCACCTCTGCTATTTCTGTTCATTCTTTGGCCTTCTGGAAAGTCATAGTACAGATTCTGAAGCTCTTCTGGTATACCAGGAGCCCTGTCCTCACTCCTGGGTAGAAAGCTGCAACAGCAGATGCCACAGGGCTTCTTTGAGTAGGTACACTCTGAAGATGTCACAGGAGAGACAGAGGGCTCTGTGAGTAAGTGCACTCCCAAGAAACCACAGATGGAGAGAAGTGAAAGAGCAGGAGCTTTGAGTGTGACCTTCATCCTCAAGACTCCTCTGTGCTGTCATGGCTCCTAGAGTAGTGACTCCACCCTCAGGATCCCTTGTCCTTTACAGTGACCTTATGATCTGCAGCTACACTCCTGTTAAGTAATGGCAGTTTCATTGAATCTGACACTGAAATTCTGGCTCTTCTCCCCCTACCTCCATAATGAGGCTCCTCAAATTGCCAGCCTCTGCTGAGATCCACTTCACAGTCATTTATCAATTTGACAAACATTTTAACTTCTCCCCACATGTCCTCATGTATTGTGTGCATGTGTATATGTATACATTTCTGTAGTCAAGTTATATCAAATACACGTGGAGGTCAGAAGAAAATTTGTGATAGTCAGTTCTCTCTTTCCTCCATATGGGTCCAGGGACAAATGTTAAGTTGTCAGGCTTTGCAGCAAACTTCATTTCTGTCTAAGCCACTAGCTAGTCCCCACCTGATATTTGATGTGATAGGATGCTAAAGCATAGAAGTTTAGAGTAGGAGTTTCAGAATCACAAAAATCCTACTAAGCTACATCAAAGAGCATACAATCAGGAGTTCATACACCTAACCACATCTGACTTTCTGGGGTAGTAGTGTGGGAATCAATACTGGGTAACCTTCAGTGCTGCCCGAGATTGGCCCTGACTCTATGGTTCCTGCCCTGAATAGTTTAGGGCCCACAGCCCAGCATTGAGGATTTCCTTCTCAACCATGGCTTCCCCAGCATCCTCCTAGATACCATGTCATATTTACAATGTACACTTGTCCAGTCTGTGGTCCCAGCATTTGCTGGTGGATATTCTACTTTTAGTATTCTGACCCAAGGAACTGGTGGGCTGTGGGGGCTGAGAGGTTCCCAACTCCTCTGATCTCTGGGTCAAGGAACAATTCCTTTATGTTTCTTGGACACTCTGTTCCTTCTTTCTAGTTCTAGACTTTTATATCACAAGTGGAGGAAAGTCCCCAAATGCTCCGATTCTCTGTGTATCATCATTCAGAGGCCAAAGACATGATAAAAATGTGGTCTGGAGAAGATGCTCAAGTTCCTTTTTTTTCTTTTATGTTAAATAGATTATTCTGTCATACAATACATTTGGACACTGTTTCCCCTCCCTCCACTCCTCTCAGTTCCCCTCCACCTGACCTCTCCCCCAGTTCCACTACCCCTCTGTTTCCTCTTCAGAAAAGAACGCCTGCAAGGACAGCCAAGTATTTTTTTTTTCTGTAGAGGGAAGGAGTGAGACAGTCTCAGACAGACATTCAGACATTCAGATTGAAACAAAGATCAAAAGCAGAGGTTTCAAGTTCATGGAAACACCTTCATTGAGACACCATTCCATGCCCATTTAATATATTTATTGTTGGCAAAGACATGGAGCAATTGCCATCCTTGTACATGACTGGAGGAGATACAAAAGGGTGCAGTCATTTTGAAAGACATGTTTTCATTTTCTTCAAAGTTAAACACATGCTTGATTGAGTAATTCTGCTTTCAGGGCTTTAGCACAGGAAATGAAAGCACTGGTCACAAAATACAAGCAAGCAGAAAAACCCCATGTTCCAAAAAGTTGATGACAGCTTCATTAACACCAGAAAAATAAAGAACAACAAAAGAATGGAAATCATTCAGAAGCTCTCACCTGGGGAGTGGATAAAACATGTTTTCATATATGGAATGACACTGCCAGTCAAAGGATAGTGCTACGTGAGTCTCCAAGACATTATATTTAAGTAATGGAAAGCGATTCCTTTTCTAAGATAGAATAGCCAAGTCCTTCATGTTTAAAATCATATGCCCTTTACAAATTATTCCATCAGAGTTGTACGGGGTTGCCACAATCAGAGATCAGAAAAGGATTAACATAAATAACACAAGGGAATTCGTTTTAGTGAAAGAAACTCTTTCATACTTGGAATCAGGGTGGTTGAAGAGCTCACATTCTATGTTAATTTTTTAAAATTTATTTATTAGTTCTAGTTAGGGAACAAGCTTGTTTCACATGTAAGTCCCTTCTCCCTCTCCCTCTCCCTCTCCCTCCCCTCACCCCCATCCCTCCT